CATTGGTATACAAAAGTGTACGCCATATTGGTATACAAAAGTTTACGCCATATTGGAATACAAAAGTGTACGCCATATTGATATACAAAAGTGTACGCCATATTGGTATGCAAAAGTGTACGCCATATTGATATGCAAAAGTGTACGCCATATTGGTATACAAAAGTGTACGCCATATTGATATACAAGTGTACGCCATATTGGTATACAAAAGTGTATGCCATATTGGTATACAAAAGTGTACGCCATATTGGAATACAAAAGTGTACGCCATATTGGAGTACAAAAGTGTACGCCATATTGATATACAAAAATGGTATACAAAAGTGTATGCCATATTGGTATACAAAAGTGTACGCCATATTGGAATACAAAAGTGTACGCCATATTGGAGTACAAAAGTGTACGCCATATTGATATACAAAAATGTACGCCATATTGGTATACAAAAGTGTACGCCATATTGGAATACAAAAGTGTACGCCATATTGGCATAAAAAAGTGTACGCCATATTGGCATACAAAAGTGTACGCCATATTGATATACAAAAGTGTACGCCATATTGGTATACAAACGTGTACGCCATATTGGTATACAAAAGTGTACGCCATATTGGTATACAAAAGTGTACGCCATATTGGTATACAAAAGTGTACGTCATATTGGTATACAAAAATGTACGACAGAATTGGTATGCTCTGTTCGATATTTTCAATTCTCTTTTCACAATGTCATAAACGATAAATCTAATTACATATATTTCAAATTTCTGTCACAAATAGATCGACAAGAATCACTATGCAGATCACTATTGTAATTATAATATTGATATATTTTTCAGTAGATATTCCGTAGATACATTTTTCATTTGTATGCTGTTAGTGTCAGAAGCGCCGGTTGGGGTTTGCATATATCTGCCCCAGTGTCTACGTCGGTGATGAACGACTTATGATTGCTGACACTATTGTTACTGAACCTTAATTCAATGTCCCAGTAATTCACCACATCAGCCCTGGCTTAAGATAACTAGTGAGAATTTTGATACATGGATTAGACAAAACCGGGAACATTCTTGTATCATTTCTCAGCTGTAAATTGATTAAGACAGGTCAGATTGATATATTTTTAGTGTTATTTCTTACTTTTACCTGTACAGCTGTTTTCTTTTTTTTTTTTTAAGTGGCAGCAGTTTGAGATTTTTCACTAACGACAGGTCATCTCGGTAACGTCTATTTCTGGTAAAAAGTGACCAATCGGAAAGGACAACTCACCCCATGTAACAGAACTTCCCATTAGATCCGGTACCATTGACCACTCCAAGAGTAAGTCAGCAACGAACTGGCGAAGAAGGAGGTCGTTGAGCGTACGTCTCTAGAATGCGAGAGGTCGCCAGCGTGAGCCTGAGAGAAGGCAGAACATCGTTCGTTACTCCACCCTCTTAGAGAAATGACATGATTTGATAAAGAAGAACTTCAACTAATTGTCAGTGTAATCCCTACAACAGTTGATACGCATTAACATCAGGTAACATCCGGGATATCTGAAGCGACAAGTGTGTATCTTCCTTATACGATATTCGATATGCCTATAAAATTACCAATTACAGTGTTTTGCATGTACTTTAGCACGTTTTGCGAGAACGATAAACATCCGGACACTATATCTTCGGTAAGTGACGTAAACTATAGGAATGTACAATTGTGATTTACAAAACTCTCATTTCGAACTTTACAATTATATAAGCTTTCAAAGACCATGAGTGATTCAATGTTAGCAATATCCGATGTTTAAATTAGGGGTTATTTGATCGCCTGCCACGCCAATTTTTTTTTAATGGGATGATTTTGAATCTCGAATCACTTAGCTACGAATTAAAAATGGAAAGGAATCGTATGCTGACAGACATCTCCGGAAGTTAGCCAGATGCAAGCTGACATTGTTTCGATATTAGTTACGAGAGCCGGCAGCAATACATTACTTTTCAATTGAAATTGTATCGCTATTTTAATCCACATTGTAACATTATAACTGATTTGTGAAATGAAACGCACAAGTCAAATGTGATATGAAATGAGCATTGGACAAAATCAAAACGGGAAAAAAAATAAATAAATCATCATATGGTCTTTGTAATGTAAGATGTAGAAAATCTGTTATCTATTACCACGTGTATTACAGCACCAAGCATCAAGGATGTCACTTCACGCTTCAGACACAGTTTAAATGTGTTTTAAAAGTGTGAACGTGAAGATGTTCCAGAGACTCCGGCGGAAATAAAGATGATATCGGACGAATGCAGCTGTACACTCTGTCTCTTACAACAGAAGAAAGACATCTCACCCTTCACTTACTTGAAAGATATACCAACTATCTTCTTACATCTAAAATGTCGTTTACATGACTTGTGTGTAGATAGATCATCTTACTGCAATATCCCAACTATAGAGACATGGTACCCCAACGCAGGGTCCTTTATGTATGTGTGTTTTATGTTAGGTTGCTGTCGTGTCGCTTTGGTTAAGAAGGACCAATCTATTAAGTGATCAAACCTGTTAATCTCTCTCCGCCTTCGATATTTGTTACGATATATATCATGGAATCTGACAAGCCATTTTTTTAACTCATTTTATTTTTTAAGAATTACTAAGCGACGCTCGTTTTCAAGCTTATCGCATTTTCGTATAGAACTTCGAAACAGACATCTAACTGATGAAAGTATGAAAGGCTTTTCATGTTAAAAAATGGAATAAACATACCTTTAGATGCGTTTAATCCTAACGCATTATATCCTAGTTTTTTTAACGAGTCACACGTGAAATGTATGAGAGAATTCGTTAATTGGTTGAACGGGTAATGCACTGTACATAGTATCCATGTATATGGACGAACAATGACGATTGCTGCCCGAGTCAGGTTAAACTATGTAATTCGTGTTTTTCTCCATTCATATCTACTTATCAGTATTGGTATGTACAAGTGTATCTATTATAACATCCTCCCCTCTTTCTCCCCCCAATCTTCACCCTCGTTCTCCCTCTCTCTCTACTTTCTAAAAATAGCTCTAATAAAATTCCACTTACTAAGCCTCGTCTTGTATTGTATATATATCTAACTATATTAACAGGAAAGGATGTCAATAATATCCATGTAACTTGTACCTCTCCTTTGTTTGTTGGCAATAAAAAATATTTTTACTTAACTAAAACATTAAAATAATAACTGTGACATTCAACAATTTAATATGGACCTTACAAAGCGAGAATCTAACGTTAGTTTATCCTCTTGTCTTAACACCATCAGCATTTTCTATAAAAAGATATTCAATCGTATCCTTTAATCCATGTTTTCAGACACAGGGGCTAGTTAAATTCCGTGGTAAAGAGAATAGCTGTATTTCGAGAGTCGAACCCCTGTATTTATAAAAATGTTCTCCTCACGTGCAATATGAATCCAATAATATAAATATACAGAAGATATTCTGGTGGAATACATATTTTACAAACACAATGATTAAACACTACAGTATTTTATCTTTATCACACGTGACCTTTATAAGGTATCTGTGACGATATATCGAGGTGTTGACAGTCTTCAGCCAAGTCCTTCATCAGGACCAGAAATGATTGTTAACAATCCGTTTTATCCGACCATGTGGGTTTTCCCCGGGTACTCCGGTTTTCTCCCACAATAAGACCCCTCGCGCGCTAACATCCGGGCCAACAAGAGTGATTAGTATAAGTTGGCATAACTTGTTTCGCAATTGTTGTAAAATAAATGAAGTTTGTTATTAATCCGTTTTATATAATGATGATAAACGTTTAGAATATGTCAGTGTACTTAACAAAGATGTTCCTCCGAGTCTCATGATCCTTTCTTACTTCACTACATTTGTATTTGACAACTGCGTGACATGCCTGTTGAGAGCTATTTTTGCATTGGTCAAGACATATCACTACTTTCTACAGAAGGCAAGTCCGAGTAGACAAAGTTACCCGTATCTGATTGAACCATTTGTCTAGGATTCCCAGAGAAACAGTTTAATACTTCCAACTGGCCTAACTATATGGACCATAATCTGGGTACGATATAGTCAAAGGGACATAACTCTGGATAAAGTCAATGGCAAAACAGATGGAACCTGGAATATTATGACAAAGTCAGAATTTCACAAAGGACCACACACGGACCATTACACATCCCGGAAAGAGTCAATACTATCTTGGTAAGACATTAATAATTACACGATTTGGAGGGCGACATCCATTTTAAACAAATAATGGATCTACATCCCAATACACAAGTCTAGTTCCCAATTCTTTAATTTCATCCAAACAAGAGGATTGACAATAAATATCATCTAAGTAGTGATATTAAAGAGTGTCATGGTTGGTGTGGTGATGACCTGGTATTTAGCAATAGTGATTGTGTTTGTTATATTCAAGTTAAATGTCAGCTTGTCTATTGGCCAGAATATCACTTAGGATCAACGATGGACCATGTTCTACTCACTAACTCAGGTCTCGTCTCTGCATTCACCTAATTCAAGAGGAGTTGTAATAAGAATATGGAGTCATCTTGAAGTCATAAAAGTTCAAATCTAAATTCTGTCCATGTAGTTTACTAGTATAATATTAGCAATGAAAAGGATTTTTCAATATGTGTCCTACTGTCTCAACCTAGTACTGTCCGAATTTCCTTCAGATTGAAGTAGCCTTCTAGGTCATTGTAATAGAATTCCTGTCAAGTACAATTTAATGGACGGATCAATTTAAAGAGGTAAAGGAATATCGAGAAAATCTCAACTCCTAGTGCTGATGATACTGTTTATTGGGAAACTTTTGTCTTTTGCCTTATGTAATACTCGTTATAGAAAAGTTTTGTGTATCTTAAATTTTACTTCGAAAATTTAGCTAAAATGTTAAATTCACTTTCTTATGATAAAATAATAGTGAAAGTTTCCCAGTATATAGTAAATCAAGAAACAATTCAACATTATAAAAAATCTAACAGATCATTTAATTCAATAATGTTGTACAGTATACAACACTGTCAGAAGTAAACAAATAATCCAAGATAAAAAAAAAGATCAAGGCTTCCTTTTTCCATTCTGAACAGCAAAGTCGTCTTTCAGATCTTCATATATTTCTCTGAAATACACAAAAAAATCATCAGTCAATAATTTTGTTAGCAGTTATTGAGTTTCTAAAGCACCGACCCGTATCATGCAGAGAAAAAACAAACTCCAGGATGTTGTTCAGTTTTAGATTTCCACACTTGTCGGTTAGATTGAAGGAGTTTCTGATCAGCAGGAACTTTCTTTCTTCAATGCTAAAACTGGATGTGCTATGCAAATATTTCTTTCTATCTAAATCCTTTGCAAAGTGGCCTATGAAACCCCCCCTCCCTTTGTCTCCTTTTCCTTATAAATTCATAATGTACTGAAAGTTCTTACTTGCTAAGGTAGAAAAAGATGTAGCCACTCCTCTCCCGTTTCAATCGCACCTCAGCTTCTGTTGACTTGGTGACGTGAGAGTCATCACAACTGAACCACGCCCCTTTTTTCAGATCATAAACATCCGTCACATAATGCCCTGAAATATTATAAACGGTGATTGTTGATGAATTTTCAGGCAAGTCAAGTATACTCGTTCAAAAATTTTGATAATTCCAATTACTAAAAGTGACAGTGGGGTTTCAAAATTTTAAGCTAGACATTGATACAAATAGCAAAACATGAAGTAGGGGAGATCACTCTGACAAAACTATTTAGAAAACAGTTTGCCAAAAATTTAATTCCAGATGCTAGCTGTCCCTCAATGAAAGATTTACACATTCATTTTAACAATAAATGAAACACATCTAAAACAAAACTTTTTACTGATATTAAAAACCAACTTCTAACCCAAACTTTTATCCAGTACTGAAATTCCCAGATGTTCCTCCATAAACTTACCTGCAAATGAAGTGCTACCCTGGTGATTAACGATACTGACAAGCTTGTACGAGTAAGGAAGGTCACCTTTCTGATAAAGACAAGACAATAAATATCATTATTCCACATGGTGTGAAAAATATCTTATAAGTTGGGCACATTACTTTGTTACTTTTGCAGATTTTTTCTAAAAATAATTCTTTCCTTAAATGGTCAATTTTATACATGTACTACTGAAAAATAAAGACAACAATTTGTTTTCCTTCCAAGTGATTCCTTTAGAGATACCTCAATTTTTCTCTTAGTGTTGCATGTCTGCCCAAATGAGGAAGGTTGAGTGTTATGTTCACTCAATGAAACTTTCAGCTACTTTCTTCTTAATCTTAAATGAGCATAAGGACAGACATTTGTCAGTATAATATGACTATGTTGGGAGTAATACTACTGAGTCAATATTATAACATTACAGTATGACAGTACTATAAATCTGATGATTGCCCCCATCATCTGTAAACATAGGAGTCTTCATATGACCTTTGCCTGCAAATCATCAATCACTTTGTAGTAACCGTGAAAACAAACCTCGTTTTCTACCACAGGAAGGTCGAGGTAGGATTGGGTGTCATCCCCTGACTGTGTCTGCACATCTCTTTGCTCTGGAAGGGCATTTTCTTTATCTTCTAGCAACATTAGTTGGAAATCTGAAAACAAATCCAATAGAAACATCAAACCATTCTGGATCTGTTTTACAATTTATACATAATTGAATATTGTTTTATGAAAACCACCTCTAATAAAAAGTTCCTTTTAAATATTACAAAATAAGAACTGATTCTTTTAAGCTTTCTAAAAATATACTGGTTACAATGCATCTTGATAAATGCTAAGTTTTCAATTTACTTGAAATTCAGAATTTTTACAAATAATTTTTATTAAATCCAGATTATATTGAGTATATCTTACCATCTTCATCCTCACAAAGAAGACTGGCAAACTCTTGATCAGGTTTGGAGTCCAGAGTGTCCATTTCTGTCTGGTACTCACTCTTGTCTGACTTACTGACGGCTGCATGACCTTGACCACCACATAATCTACTGTTGTCAACTTTATTGTCCTCTGTCTTTGCGATCTGACATTCCAAATCAATGTTTGAATTATTCAAATCTTTACTCGTTCCCTCAACATTTGATTTTGTCTGTTTTTCATCAAGATCATCAAATGAATGATCCAATTCTAACCTGATTTGTTTTTTACCTGACTCATGTAAAGAATATTCAGTCTTTGACACATTTTCTTTCCCAAAGAGACAAGTTCGTGTTGTTTTTGTTGTAGTTGTCTCATTCACAGAATGAAGTTTGCCCGAGTCTGACGTATCAGAGGAGGCAATGTCTGTATTACCAGATACACTGAATCCCTGTGAAGCATCAACTGCATTGTCTAACACTTTCATATTATGTGAATCTGTGTCCTGTTCCTCGGTGATCACATCTAACACAGCACTTGGCATCCTCCCTTTGACAGAACAGTCATCATTACTTGTCTTTTCTGGACTGTTGCTTGACTTTCTAACACACAAGGGTGATTTTTGTAGAGGTTTTCCTGAAAATAGAGTATTCTTTTCCTTTTTAATATGGTCTTCTCCCGTTTGTGAGGAAGTATCCTCTATTGTTTTAACTGAGGATGTTCCACTTTCATCTGACCTGTACATGGGACTGGTTTGTTTGTCGTCTTTTGTATCGTCCGATGCCTCATACTTGTGTGTGCGGTTGATTGGGTCCATTTCCTGTGATATTTCCATGTGAGAGATGCGACTTGTTTCCATTAAACTCTGTTCTATGGCTAATCTCATCTGTTCCTCCTCTGACATATTCTGAATGGTCTGCCCATAATCTAAATCAATTATTAAATTTTATTATGAAACAAGGAACTGAAATGTCACAACACAGATATATAATTTAGAACAATAAACCTAAAATGAATGAACTGAAAACATGCTTAAGATGGATATGAAAAAAAAAGAAATAAAGTATGTGTATTAAATTTCAAGCTCACTTCAATCTGCTCTTTCACAATTCCTTGCTAGTTTTCATGATCAACCAGAATTTGATATTTTTACACCCCAGAAAGTGGATCAAAATAATTCCTTAATTTCCAGTTGATAAATTTACCTACATACACATGTTGCAGTGTTCCTCATGACCCACAGATATAGGTACAAAAACCCTTTAATTGGTGAAATTCAAGATTTATACCCTGGCTTTCAAGCACTCTCCTGGCTTTCAAGCTCTCTCCTATATAAATACATTGTTAGGGCTTGTACTCTACTTTCAAACAGCAAGGGGGAACACTGCTGTTGTCTGTTATGAAAACAATACTTCTGATCACTACCTCATCACAAAGAGAAATGAAGGTATGGACAGAATGGTTTAAAGAAAGCATACACTCATCTAAAAAAGCATCTCATCATTGGTTTGTTGTCTCTATTCTAGACAATGACCAGGCTCTACAACCATGGCCTAATGGATGATAAGGTTTCATTACTGGTATTCTGTAACCTGTTATGTGATCTTGCACCAATGTGACCTCTTAATTAATCAAAACAGAAATCAAACGACAGTACACCAACAATTTAAGTTGAACTCTTCCGAAATCTTTAAAGAAAAAGTGTAATTTTTTTTTGTAAAACCTGGCAACAATGAAATAGTTGAAAGTGTGAAACCTTCAAAAGTTTATAAAATACTGACCATGATCAAAGTTGGAGGTTTTTTCTATCTCCACTCTGCTCATCTCCAACACTTTCTGTAGCTCGGTCTCCTTCGTCTCATCTACATAATGCTGTAAGTCATAATCACATACAATATCAATACAGAACACAATGTTTATATACTTAGGCAATAGCTGGACTTTTAAAGAAATGTGCGTCTGTATATCATGATTATCCTGTAACAAGTGGTGTTGAACCTATTATCCAAATTCTAACTCAAATATATTTAACACTTAAATACAGTATTGTTTTATATTGTTTTAATGCATAATTTCCTAAAACTGGGTTACCCTGCCCAAAATTTGTGACAAAATTAACATTAAAAATCAAGCGAAATTTCATTGATATTTTGAGGTTGAGCTAGTGCTACCGATGTCATGTTCATGATGTGTCAGGGTTTATCAGGGAAATTCATATCATTAACAATTGCTGTCTAGGCTAGATAAGTAAATGAGATATTTGTAGACAGTTCCTCATGGTCATACTTTTGAATTTTTTTTTATAATTGACAAGTGAAATGTCTGTTGCGTGTTATCTCATCCTTCAAGATTGCTAGTGTCTTGCTAAGACACTTCATTTTTCAACTTCCTGAAAAACAAACCATTCTGTGGTTCCAAAACCCTACCCCTATCAACTATCAAAACTACTTCAGCCGGACAAGCTTTAGAATTACGTACTTCAAGAAGGCAAAGACCCACATGCAATTATACATGTTTCAATGGGCTTCTTCACTTGAAAATGAAACACTGAAACAATTATCCAAGGTTATCCAACTTAACAATTTGAATTTTAATCAATAAGCAAATGTAAATTGATTCAAAATATTGACTTTCAACAAACTTCAATTTGCACAATCAAATTTCAGTTCATTCATTTATCACTTGTTGGCAAAGTGGCGCAATGACAAATTTGTGATTCAACAATAACTGCTAATTGCAGTTAGCACAATCATATTAAGAGCAATGCTTTCAGCAAAAATTGCACTTAAGTTGTGTTACCTCGAAAAGGAGGAGTGCCAATTTGGGCCTTCTGGCGGCCATGACCGATATTTTTTATTTCTTGTGTAGGAATTCCTTGGGGTTAGGCGGTCATGATATGACATAAAATTAAGGTCAGATCTGAGCCATTCATTAGTTATGGGGGGTAAAGTGGGGGGTAAAATTCAAAAACAGCTCCATTATGACAAACCTACATTATATTTTTGGATTTTTTCTTCTTAATTTTCATGTAATAATCCATATCAAAACATTCATTAGTAAAATTGATTGAAAAAAATATTCCATTGTTGAAAAGTAGGTCATGGTAATTAAGCTCATTAATTGCGAATTATATTAAAGATGAACTTAATTTTCTGCCTTAATGTACATAAAAACAATACCTTTATCATGTACCATGTTTTAATAAGAAATATTTTTGCATACTTTAAAGAAAACAAAGAAGAGGCGGTGCTTTGAATTTTAGTTCGACAACTTTGACCATATGTCTGTATCTAGTGGTTTTACCGAAGTATTAACACAGAAATGGCTAATGAAAGATATCAATCTTAACCTCTAGTGTTGCATTTCACTCCACTATACATACAATGGTCGTACACATAGTTAGTTACTCATTGTCACTGTCAGACTCAGACCAGTCCTCAATCATCATTGCGTCATCAGCACAGCTGAGGTAGCTTGATGAGGCAGTTGGGTGTGCTATCCTAGGCTGGTGTCGCTCATAAGAAAGGTACCAGAGAACAGATGCAATATGGGCACAGCAGCCCACTACCCTGGCACCAACCTTACACTGGCAATACCAACCAGATATAGGAGTCAAACCAGGGGAATACTCAATCCACAGGTTGTACAGTTTCGAAGCAACATGTCTGGAACGAATCTGAACTTTAAGCCAGGCTTTTCCCTGCATGCCATTAATTCATACTGGCCATCTTCAGACAAGTGCTCCATGGTATATCACTTTGCCTGCTTCAACTGATATACTCCCATGGTAAGATCTCTCAACTCCGGTTCTGTCAGCTGAGGAAAGTCAGGCAAACTGGCCTCATCAAGCTTGACCCATATGGCTCTTTTCCTAGCCAAACCTTCTTTTTCAACTTGAATTTGCAATTTATTGGGACATTTTGACAGAGCCAACATTCGCTCAGCAATGATGAGGTCATTGGGAGAATCAGAGGCAAGTGGGGGGCGAAAAGCATTACAAATTGCACACACAATTCTCACAAAATCACCTACAACTGGAATGAGAGTGTTGGGCAAAACATGTCCCAAGGTCTTCCACTGCTTAATCCGCCCATTTGCCGACTCCACAACCCACCTTACCTTTGTTACAAGACGAGATTCGTTTGCCTCAGTATGTGTGTGTTGTTTCTGCCCCTTTGGCAAGAAAAATGGCATTTCTGTTTTGATGCCAGCATCATTCAACAGTTCTGTCACATCTCTGAAGCCTCTGTCAACGACAAGAACATCATCATCTTGAAACCAATCCTTGATGTTCTCAGTGTTAGTTTTCAACATGTGTTTTGTAATGTTGGCGTCATTATTTCGACCGTCTGCTAAATATGGGCCTAGGACAGACAGTATATAGCCATCTGAGGCCACAAGAAGCATTGGTTTCAGGAGAGGGCGTCCTTTGTGCATCGAAAAAGAGCGTCGTTGGAAAGTATAGTTGCTGGACTTTTCAACATAAATATATGTGCCATCAGCAACAGCTATAGCGACATCTTCCCCAGAGGCAAACATCTTCCTTGCAAATACCGTTGTATGGTTTTGAATTACTTGTTCTCTAGTGATGTGTTGCAGGCCAAGGTGTGAAGGAACGAAGTGGGTCATCAATGCTTGGCGAGCTGAATGAATACATTTTCCACATATTCTCTTTGTCATGTTGAACAGAGAAGCTAATATTGATAAAGACATGCCAGTCCTCAACTTTACAAGCAGGATGGCTAATGCAGTCCTTGCGCTTCTGTTCAGTGCAGAGTAAAGAGAGGGATTAACTGATCGTAAAAGGTCAGAAAATTGATTTTTATACAGACCTGTGAGACGGTAGTAATCTTGATCAGTTAATCCATCTGAGGAATCAAAGTCTAAACAACTTTTCTTTGAAGCAGCTGCCCTAAGTGTCAAAAGGATCTCTGATATTTCAGAAGAATCCAGTTCAGTGTCTTTGCTGGAATATGCGAGTGAAGATAGACTATCAGATGGGAAATCACCATTCACTATGTGGGAAGAACAACATCTGCAGGTGTTTGGGACAAGGATACCTGTCTTAATAAAAATCTTTACTCGCATTTCTGTTGAGAGCATTACCATTTTACTTTTACATTCCTCTCTTAACATTTTACAAATGAAACATCGAGATTCACCTAATGTAGCCCGTGGAATGTCAAGTTTGATTTTTTTGTTTTCAGGTGACTCAAGCTGGTGCTCTACATCGCTACTACGATGTTCAGTAGATGAATGGTGATTGTAGTATCTTCCCCTGCATTTTTTACATACGGGGTCACCAAACCTTAAGGTTTATTCAGACAACAGAGCCTTACTTTATATTGTGCTTTACAACAAGCGCACTGCCTGTGCACTGGCATATTGATAAAAGAAAACAGGGCATAAACTTAGAAAACACTCCTTATTAAAACCTTAATTTGGATGAACAAAATTATGAACAACAGTTGAATTACAATTATATGTCTAAATTATATGTACAATATCAGTGACAGTCAAACCAAGAAAGTATACTAAAATCGCTGAGGTTGTGAAGTGTAGTTGCCACGTATTAATTGTATATATAAGGGTATATGAACTGTCTGAGACAAGGTGCACATGTATACTCACCGGTAGACACAAAGATCCTTAACAAGGTATATGTCAGGGGATGGCATTATATCCCGCCATTTTAGCTTAAAGCTCAACCAGCCGTACCAAACTGGTTTAAATATCTCTACATTTATCAAGCAATTTATTTTAAACAGTTCTTAATGCAGTACAATTTAACATTTATTTATTAGATATTTATTATCTAAAATAATTACATAAGGCAACTCTGATATCAACCAAAAGTTGTCAAAAGTGTGAACCCGCCCCCTCCCATTAATTAATTCTCCATTTTCTATAAAGTATTCAAAAATAAATCTTACTAAAGCATGACACATGATAAAGGTATTGTTTTTATGTGCATTAAGGCAGAAAATTAAGTTCATCTTTAATATAATTAGCAATTAATGAGCTTAATTACCATGACCTAATTTTCAAAAATGGAATATTTTTTTCAATCAATTTTACTAATGAATGTTTTGATATGGATTATTACATGAAAATTAAGAAGAAAAAATCCAAAAATATAATGTAGGTTTGTCATAATGGAGCTGTTTATGAATTTTACCCCCCACTTTACCCCCCATAACTAATGAATGGCTCAGATCTGACCTTAATTTTATGTCATATCATGACCGCCTAACCCCAAGGAATTCCTACACAAGAAATAAAAAATATCGGTCATGGCCGCCAGAAGGCCCAAATTGGCACTCCTCCTTTGTACATTTAAAGTGTCGGACTTAATTTTCAATTACGTATTGACTGAAGCTTACCTGAGTTCGGTCATTGGCCTCTTGAAGACTAAGTTCCAAGGCTCTGGCGAGATCTTTGTCCTCTTCTTCCTCTTCTGGACCATCTTCAATCATTAATGGCACATCAGCTTTAATACCATGGTCCTCCTATCAACAAATATATTTGTATGGTGCTCAATGAATGAATGTAATGGCATAACATCATGTAAGATTGAAAAAGAAGGAAAGGAAAACATATATGGTATCCATGGTAACTTCAAGGACTATCAAACAAATATCAGCACATTTTCTAGCCTTTTTTCTGAAATACCTAAAATATCCAAACACTCCTCCCTCCTAAAGATGTACTGAATATCTAAGCTACCCAAACCACCAAGATACACCAAACATCACAGGTCTCTCCATCCAAGATACACTGAATATCCCAGCACATTTTTTTGAGATACATCAAATATTCTGTCACTTTTCCAGGACACAGTCAATATAAAAGCCTTTTTTAATATATCATCCCCGCACCTTTTAGATATATCCAATATCTCACCTTTTTATAAGATACACCAAATATTCTGTCACCTTTACAGGATACAACCAGTATGTCCCCCCACCCCCATCCTTGATATACCGTAAATATTCGCGTATAGTGCGCACTTTTTTAAGCTGAAACTGTCGTGTCAAAAAGGGGGTGCGCACTATACGCAGGTACATGCCATTCCGGGGGTTATCATTCCCGAGTTCTGCATCCGCCATATTGGATTACCTCCCTTCACATAGTTATATGTAAAAGTCGTCGGTCTTATATGATAGTTTGGAGATAAAAACAACAAAAAAATAAAATGTTTTAATCATCTGCCATTCACGCTAGCATTACGGTGAATCTAGTTTTCCCGTCATTTTGATGATGTATCTGTGGAATTCAATGAATCCGGAAGTTTTTAGGCGATTGTCGTTCTGTTCATAAATCGGACAGCCCATCCCACTGATGGCCAAAGTTGGTGACCCCATGACCTCTCTTGATCTGCATGGCCCGCACGCGCAGTTCTGTTGCACTGGCAGCGATGCCGGGATATCGGCGATCGCATACAAAGTTGAACAGCTCTCTCTCCATCTCTGGGTGTTTCGCTGTCGCACCTATGTCAGCCCTTCTGGTCAGTGGTTGGGACTTTAAACGGTCTTTTCTTTCTTCCGTGCCTTGATATTTCACTCTGGAATATTGAAGTGGCGACCGGCGGCATGAAACTCCAGTCTCTCAGCGTAGTCAAATGGCGTTCGCAGTTTCCCCATGTCGAAGTCGGTGTAAACAATCTATCATTAAATACCTTCGGATACCGCAGTGGGTACAGATACCATGAAAGATCATGCCTATACTGGACAAACCACCTGCTTTTATGGGGACAAGGTAGGATTGAAAATGTTCAGACAGTTAAAACAACATCGTTTTCTGACCAATAGTACGCGTTCAGCCCAAGCCGGGTGTCATCAGTCTTCTCATACTCAACGTGTTAACTGTCCTTAACCGTTAATTATACAATCAGCCAAGCCTTTCATGCTTGTGAGGTCACCTGGGTAAATTTGTTTACTTAAGGTAATTACATGTGTTAGGGTCACGCTCATTGTGGTTTCCTAATTATCAATGGATCAGACCACATCAAATGTTTCGTCGCAGTGACCAGTCAATTAATTTTTCTGTAGATTTTTTTTTTTTTAAAATCTGATCTCCAAAAAGTACCTGCGCACTATACGCGAGCGCGCACTATACGCGAATATTTACGGTACATCCAATATCCCATCATTTTTTGGAGATACATCAAATATCCATGCTAATTTTATGTCACCACTAGTGTACTAGTTCTTTTCCAAAGTATACAAAATATTAATACTTTACAAGGGTTCACCTGATATAGCAATACTTTACCAGAGTTAACCTGATATAGCAATACTTTACCAGTGTTCACCTGATATAGCAATACTTTACCAGGGTTCACCTAATATAGCAATACTTTACCAGTGTTAACCTGATATAGCAGTACTTTACCAGTGTTCACCTGATATAGCAGTACTTTACCGGGTCACCTGTTATAGCAGTACTTTACCAGGGTTACCTGATATAGCAGTACTTTACCAGTTTTAACCTGATATAATTTTCTGAGATACACTCAATGTCTCCAGGAAATACCAGTTCTATATATCACATATCCAGTTAGTTTGCATGCACCGATATGAATTCTGGTCTTGTTCATGGCCTTGTGAATAATGTGTAAAGAGATTGGATTTTAACTCACCCCAAGATCAAAAATTTTTGCTTTTTTGTAAGGTGTACTGGTGTTAATATCCTCCTTCTCATCCTCTTCAAGCGGTCGTGTTTTCTTGAACCTGAAACTTTCCCCAAGCTGTAAACGTCGTCTGGGCACACTCTCATCGGATGTCAAAATCTTGTCTGGTCTGTAGACACATCACACAAGAAAGAATATCAGTCTTGAATTCTATATTTCATGACCTGTTGTATTTCCGAAAATGACATAATGATGTGTCCTTAGGCCAAAAAGGGCTATTATAAAAAATGGGCCAATGTTTGATACTAAGCTGAAATATGTTTTTGTGTATCTCTAGGCAAATTTAACACAGAGTGAAAATCGTGCTAAAATTTCACAGTTTACAAAAACATGCATTTTAACTGGTTAGCATTGGATAACAATGTGTACACATAATTTATATTGTTCGACAGACTGGAGCAAACTATGGGTTGGCGGGACAAGGTGCAAAGGTTTTCAATTTTTTATATCGTTCAGGAGACTGGAGCATGTGATGTATATGTATGGTTTGTGATGTACATCTTGTACTGTCTGAGGAAACTGGAGCTATGGTCATACATTTTATATCATTCAGAAGACTGGAGCATAAACAGGTAAGGTGTACATACATTTTATACTGAAGAATGGCCAGAGAGAGGGTACATAGGTTTTATACTATTTAAGTGTGGTGCTGAGCTGGAAAGGGTGTACATACGTTTTATATTGCTCAGGAGACTGGAGCAGGGCTGGGTAAGGTGGGAAGGTATTCTCCTCACAATGTGCATCCAATGACAGGAAACGTGTGATGCTGATACTCTGCGCAGTCTTGGTGTTAATGATACTCTGATCAAAGTTGTATCTCTTCAGGTGTAACACAAGTACTCTAAAAATACATTTATGACTTTGTAAAGACAAATAACAAACCATGCATGAAGAATATCACATTCTGAGTTTACAATCTAAATCAAACGCTTTCATCAACTTTTTCTCTCTCCTTTTTTGGTAGTCTATCAACAATTTTCTCTATAAAGTTATTTTTTATGTTGAAAATTTCCTGAAAACCTCAAAAGGCTTTTCTTTGAATAAAGTATTCCTTTCCTAGACCTACAGTTTTCAAAACTAAGTTCATGTTTGCATTGACAAAAAAGACGCAAGTAAAGGGGAATAACTTGTACCAAACTCGGCTTACCTTGGCAGTCTAGTAAACTTATGTGTGACTTCTGATTTGTTACTTCCACATTTTTCACACGTGTACTCAATTGCCTCCGACCGAAAGAATAAATCCAGTGCATTCTGAATCGAAGACTGCTCACCATTTTTTCTGAAAACAAATAGATGAAATAAAAATTTGTATGTGAGGAAAATACAATCCCCTAACCCAAATAATCATGTGAAAGGTACATAGGCCCCTAACCCTATTTAATAGAAATTGAACTAAAGATTAATTCTTGGAAAGGATATATATGCCTCCAACCCTGTTTTTATGGAAACAGAGTATAAAGTATATTTTGTGGCCTTAACACTGTTTCAATGCAAAGTTTAACTAAAGTGACGTAAAAAAAACATAAATGTGACAGTGGTAATCCAGATGGGAAGTTGAATTTTGCAAATGATGTAAGTTTTAACAAAAGGGTTTCTCCAGTAAAACATTTATTCCACCCCAGGACTCTTGGTTCTGTTCAGGGCTATTCCAGTAAAATATCTATTCCACCCCAGGACTCTTGGTTCTGTTCAGGGCTATTCCAGTAAAATATTTATTCCACCCCAGGACTCTTGGTTCTGTTCAGGGCTATTTCAGTAAAATATCTATTCCACCCCAGGACTCTTGGTTCTGTTCAGGGCTATTCCAGTAAAATATCTATTCCACCCCAAGACTCTTGGTTCTGTTCAGGGCTATTCCAGTAAAACATCTATTCTGCCCCAGGACTCTTGGTTCTGTTCAGGGCTATTCCAGTAAAATATCTATTCCGCCCCAGGACTCTTGGTTCTGTTCAGGGCTATTCCAGTAAAATATCTATTCCACCCCAGGACTCCAGGTTTTGTTAGGGATATTGCCTACAGAATATAATTGATAAGGCAGGAAAGAGTACTAAAGATGGTTTTTTTTTTTTTTTAGTCCAAGGCCCTTTTAGTAATAATCAGGGCCTGACAGATGTTTTATTAGAATAGCCCTTTTAGTAATAATCAGGGCCTGGTAGATGTTTTACTAGAATAGCCCTTTGTGTTATAATCAGGGCCTGGTAGATGTTTTACTAGAATAGCCCTTTGTGTTATAATCAGGGCCTGGTAGATGTTTTACTAGAATAGCCCTTTGTGTTATAATCAGGGTCTGGTAGATGTTTTATTAGAATAGCCCTTTGTGTTATAATCAGGGTCTGACAGATGTTTTATTAGAATAGCCCTTTGTTTAATAATCAAACAAAATACCGGTCTCTTTAAATGTTAATCTATCTTTATAATTAGTTACTAAATCATTTAATCACTCTTTGCTAACTTTGATCTTTTCCCATTCTGCCAAAATTTCTACCTACCTTCGTCTTGGCATATCCACAGAAAGGTCATTGAACTGCTCTGCTTTGGTGACCACCTCCTGACAACTACAAAACAAGTCTTTGTGTAAAATAACATACGGAGGATTTATTGAACTGTAACCGACTTGTCCCATATCCTTGACAGTAGGTCCGGGTTAACATATACAAAACTGGCTTCACTATAGAATACAACTACATTTTAGAGATATTTTTCAAGTTTACAGATGTTTAATCATTTTTACATATTTGACTCCATCACCTAGAAAATGAATGAAAGTTATGTAATTGGGTTAACGTCTTCATATCAGTGAGACATGTGCTACAGTATTTTTTATTTCAACGTGTTGATCTTTCATGGATTGATTCATCATTGGAACATAAAAGACCCCCTGACAATGTAATCTCTACTGCAAAAACTGAATCATTGAAAAAATCCATTCTTACTGGAGACAGGTAATAGAGTGGAGGACTTCCATCTCAAAGTTCTGCACGGTTGGGTTGATGTACGGAGTGTCGCCATCAGAACCCTCCCTATGGGGACTAGGTGTGGAGCTGGACACTTTAGTCACCTCTTCCTTCAGCTGGTCCAACACCTGACCAAGGAATTCATGAGCATCCTAACAAAAACAAAGAAAATAAAAAATAATGATATCTACTGTTGTGTTACATCACAGATCAAGTGCAGCCACACTGACAGTAGTTTCAGTAAAAACACAAACATTTAAAGCACTGTAATAATCCCTACCATGGGATTGGCTTTATGGGCTTAATGCAGGATTAATATGATACATTTTAAAGCTACATTACTGGATATTAGATTCTTCAGTAGTTTGGATGTGATGTACAAAATGATTGAATTGTTATTTTAATTAACAAGAGACTGTAATAGCAGCTTTTAGACTGAGGATATGAAAAATTACAAAATCTATTTCCATCTGTGACTTACGTGTTGTTGGTAGCCAGAAAACCTCTTGGCCGTTGTAGATATTGCAGACTTAACATTCCGTAGCATGTCCCGCCTCACATGTTCAGGAAGTGTTTTAGTTCTCGATCGAAGAAGTTTATAAAGGGCACTGCAGTGAACAAAATATTCTTTCATTATTGTCTGAAGTTTTGTTAAGATCCTCAAGGCCTGAAGTATACTTCCATTTCAACCTGTTTTCAGGAAGTCCATCAGGCTTGAATACATCTCCATTTTCAATATGTGTTCAAAAAGTTACACAGTTTTAGCCTATACAAAAGGCACTCATGGCCTAAAAATTACCTTCATTTTTCATCTGTATAAGAATGGTTCAGTGGTCTGAAATACACCCCCATTTTAAACTTGTACAGGAGAGGTTAACAAGAATTGATTGTGTTACTAATTCAAAATTCAACTCTGTTGCCAATTCTGTCTGGACCAAATTAGATCAAGGCAGAATTTATTTTTCAGAAGAGTTGGGCAGTACCTACCTATACAGAGACTGGGAATGCAGAGATTTCATCACTCGACTGTTAGAGAACAGTAAATCATTGGAGAACGTGTCCAAGCAGAACAACGATTGAAGGATAGAATTCATGTAGCAAGTGTTTCCAAGATTAGAGAACCTGAAACAAAGACAAACTATTGTTATTATAATGAACAAGAGGTTCAGAGGGCCCGAGTCACTCACCTCCTTGGCTATTTCAAAATCATAACAAAACATTTTTCGTAACAGAATTTTGAATCTTGGTATTGATCTCTCGGAACCATTCATTAAGCAAGTCATAACAAACTCTGTGTTTGAACGACACTGGAATATATTCTCCTACTGCCAGTATTAGACAGCGAGGCAAGCTTTAGGACACTCTAATAACACAATATACATTCATCTCTACCTAGTGATGATTTGAGCCAAATTTGGTCAAAAAGCTTAATTAAACAGAGGAGTTTTACAAAGTCCTCTTCATCCCAGATCACTCAAGACAAATTTGGACAAAATTCAATCAGGCTTTTTGGAATATGAGTCAGGGGTAATGTGCTGGAGATTTATTGCAGTAAAATAATTACCCTTGTAGACTTTTTGGTTGGGTCTGTAACTGATTGCTCCCAGGAGTGGTGGTAGTAGATTTGTTCCATGTGTAGTTAATTGAATCAGACAAGCGAGGTCGTTTCTGTAGAGTTGGGTCTGGCATCATACCAGGTGATCTCTTCAAATTACTGTTACAAGACAAAGATTGATCAGGAATACAAATGTCAGCATGTTTTTCTGAAGAATATTAAAGCATATTCAGTAAATGATTTTCAGTAAAGGATATTTGAAGAGATAATTCTTCAAAATAAGAAATTTTCTTAAATGGCAAAAATATTGGGAAGAAATAAATGTCACTGACATTATCAATTCTAACAATTATACTTTGAAACTGATCAGAAAGTATACCTTGACACTGAGAAAGCTCCATAACTACGGGGTGTTGCTGAAGAACTACTATAGAACCCAGATGTTTCGATCTGCTGAAGGTGGTTACGAGCTTTCTCCATCCCATTCTGTAAGTACTTCAGATTCTTCTCCTTTGACACCTGACCTCTATATAACAAAAATAAGTATAAAAACATAATATATTCATGAATATCAGATATCATGAGACAAATGCATCTGGAGATTTTAAATATTGACTGACCAGTATTTTATAAGCTTGTTTCACTCATGAACTTACAGGGCTCTCGATCTGCCAGATTTGGGGCCGATATTCAGCCCCGTTCCCAATGCAAAATAGTATCTTTTTTTCCCAATTTAGACCCCAAGTTTCCCAATTCTAAGGAAAACGCTGCTATTTTTCCCAATTCTAAGGGCCCCGAGCCCCAGTCCCAAAATGGGGTGTGAGAGCCCTGACTTATTCCAACTAATTAAAACTGACATCAAAAATCTCGTCCAACATCATTCCTTCCATGGTATACTTACCTGTTCTGGTTTTCTTTGAATTCATTCTCATCGTCAGTATCTTCAAACAGCGAAATCTCTTCTGATTTCTTCTTCACGCTGAAGTCAAAACAATGTCTACAACTTATCATGAAAAAATCAATGGCTGTGTAATATTTTATCCAGTAAAAAATTTGTATTCTTGAAATTTCAAATCAAACAAGATTTTCTCACTGAAAAAGGTTTGCATTCAAGCTAGATATTTCACTTGCAGTTATTGGAAAATTTTCTCTCCAAATGGTAAAGATAATTCATATTGTTGAAAATCCTTAACCTTGTTGAAAGTGTGCAAGTTGAATCTTTCCTCTTAATGTTGGTCTTTTAATTTTTAATTCAAATCAATAAATGACATAAAATTTACCAAATGAAAAGTTTATATTTGTCCAATAAATGAAATTTAGGATATTTCATAAGTAAGTCCCTAATTACGGAACCAGATTCTTTAGTGGCGTTACATATTATCTGCCTGAAATACTGAGTTGGACAAAATTTTGTTATGAACAAACATTTACAGCAGGGATAATAAAAATTTCTAAAGATGCCTGTCTTGTGCCCACTTTAGATGTTGACTGAGTTTGTATTTTGTGAAGGACAAACTATGGCCTTTGCCCCACTTATTAGCGGAAGTTCTGTCTCTCACATGAGATATTCATATAAAGGATCAGTTCAGATGACTAATAAGAAAAGAAAAAAATATTTCTGTCTTTGATTGGTTGTTTGTATAAACTGCTATAACCCACTAACACCATCTCTCTTCATTGACAAAACAAGTTTTCCTGTTTGCACACTCGACTTTCCTACCATCCACCTATGACAGAATCTGTCTACTGTTGGTACTACTATTTCTGTTTGTAGGAAATCTCTACGGAAGCTGAAATACCTTGTAAAGTTTGAGTCTTTGGCCAGTGTCTGCTTAGAAGGCGTCTTAGTTCCATTTTTTTGCCATCCACTAACACAAACCATCGAAGGATTCTGCTGAGATTCTGGGGCTGCAATCAAATCCATGTAATATGAGCACAAAGTCCTAAACACATCAATTTAGTCGAGGCAATACCTAACTTCAGGTTTAAAGGACATATTTAACACAAGTTTCTCACATCATTATAAATATATTCTGTAAATATACTTCAATTGGTGCTATCAAATTTCCATGCACTATCATTTTTGGGAAATTTGGGGATTTTTGTATCTGTAATAATTACTAGATAAACATAGAGAAACTGAAATCAGCACAACCAAGGAAAGTGCTAAAATAATATTACCACTAAAATAGGCACGTTTACAGTAAGATGATGACCATTTTTGTACACCAAATACAACTTTGTACATCAATTTGGAATTATAAGACAACAGTTTTAGAAATAATTTTATTCATATTGACCTATTCCATTTTTAAATGAAACATTATTAGATAAGTGATCCATGTAAAAGCCTCATTATTTTTTACACCAAGCTATTAAAGTGTGTTGTATACATTTAAGTCCTTCAATCTAAGTGTTAGATACCTATTTTTCCAGTACAGATGTCCTTGATGAGTTGGTCCAACACGGACATTGGTTTAGTGTACTGTGTAGCATTAGATTCTGGTTTAAACTGGATAGCTGAAGCTTCAGATCGGTTCCTCAGTGTGATGACCAGCTGATTCTTACATATCACTCCTTCAATGTTAGCATTATTCACCTGAAAGGAAGAATAGAATTATTTATAAAAATTCTTAACTGTTTTCCAATATCGGATGTAGGGTCTTTATCCTAAGAGAGAGGCTCATCATGCATGAAAACAGGCCTCGAATTTAAGGGATTTTACTGGCTATTTGCAAGTAGAAATCCAAGAATTGCAAGTAGAAATCCAAGAATTGCAAGTAGAAATCCAAGAATTGCAAGTAGAAATCCAAGAATTGCAAGTAGAAATCCAAGAATTGCAAGTAGAAATCCAAGAATTGCAAGTAGAAATCCAAGAATTGCAAGTAGAAATCCAAGAATTGCAAGTAGAAATCCAAGAATTGCAAGTAGAAATCCAAGAATTGCAAGTAGAAATCCAAGAATTGCAAGTAGAAATCCAAGAATTGCAAGTAGAAAAAATAATGACTTGCTTTTTTCAGCAAGTGGATTCATCAGATGCAAACTGTGAGTGCCTGTCTATTCCTAACATTTCACAGAATTAAATTGTTTTGAGTTTGAGTGTAAATATTGGGACAAAGCACTTCTTCTATAATGTTGATATATATTGGATGAAGCAAGGTAATACATTATAAACCACAAAACAAAACACATTATTTGAACATAGGAGATTTGTGATAATAGCAAGTAAAAAGTCATTTTAGCATGTACAAATTTAAGGCACTTGCTGTTTTCAGCAAGTGACAAAATATGTTAAAAATGAGGCCTGGACAAGTCAAATTTTAAATGGTCATTGGTTGGCTGGATAAGAGTGTAATTCTCAAATGTAATCATGTTTATAAATTCACCTTAGCCATTCATGAAGACTGAAGACATTTAAACTCTGTCTCTCTTGTCTCCAGAAGGTAAAGGGCCACATCATTTTTGATAATTTTTAGTTTCTTTTGAAAATAAGGTTAAAGGTTGTTCTAATGTAGATTCAAATTTGGAGCCTAATTTCAAATTTCTTACGAAACATAAGATTAAACATTCTTGTTACACTTAGTCCACTTAATATGAATCACCAGTTTACTTTCAGGCAGTTCTGAAGCTGTTTTCTCCATAAGTGGGTTTCTGAAAAAAGTACATGACAGATGCCATGTCAAACTCAGTTGGCTCTAAAACAGGTTTTTATTTTTCCTAAAAAATATCCTTCACTTGTGTATGCTACGAAGTTTCTTCTGATAAATAGCAACTGACCACATAAAAGAAAAAAGACAAATGATTGTAATAGTACATATAGTTTATTCGTCAAGACACACTTGAAAGAATGTTTAATTGATGCTTTTTCAAAACTTTTAAACGTTTTTTTTTGTTAACAATTTAAATAAGTTTATGAAAGTAAAACCAGTTTTGTGCTGATGTGGTTTGATTTTTATAACCTTTGTTACATACAGTTTTCATTTAATGAGATTGAAAAGGCGGATTTAAAATCTTATATGAAAGCAAACCATCTGATGTAAAGGTCACGAATAAAAACAAGGGTATTCTGTAGAAAATAACATGAATCCATGTAGGACAATGAAAATGCTTCAGATGTAACGATTCTGAATCTAGAATAAATTTTTTTTTTCATGGAGAGGACTCCTCACTCCCTTTCCATCAGCAAGGAGGATACCTGCCACTCCTCATTCATTAGATGAGGCACTCCAATACAGTGCTCCAGATAGCCTGCGTGAATGCGTTTTCATGCACAATATTTCTAATTTCACGCTAGGAAAAAAATAAGATTTGCGTCATTAACCCGTGCGAAATCCGGACTCTGCGTCAATGTCCGGCTCCAATATTACGTAGTTAGAAAACTCAATAATCTAAGTCAAACAGACACTTATCAAGTAAACGAAACTCGTAACAAGCGCTTTCTTGATCGTGATTATAAACCAGTCGCATAGCAAATATGGCGCTGTCAAAAATGTTTACAAATTCAGTGTTACCCTAATATGGAAAAACCCATACACTTGATGAAGGCAGGGGTGAAAAAACCCCTCAATTTATAAAGGTAGGAGTGAAAACCCCACATGTCAAAAAGTTATCTGGAGCACTGCCAATAGCAAAAAAGGGAAAAAAATCCCACATATAGGAAATCTATGACAGAACTTTCTCATATCAACTTCAACCGCGATGTTTATATTTGACTTATCAACAACGTATAATCATCGAAGGCTTCATTATCTTCCTTGTGAAATACAAATGTAAATCTTTCTATTTTTTTCTCAATGAATATAAGAAAAACAATAAGAATAAAGACAGTTACCTCCGTTGATATCACAGACTTGTTTGGGGCAGTACAATAGAAGACCTCCAGCTTCCACTTGCCATTGACAAAATGTACACAGATATTTCCTGTCTTCCACTTTCCTGATCCTATGGTTATACCTCTCTGCTTTACCTGGCCATGACAGGCGTACTTCTTGTTTATGTCCCATTTCATCACCTTTTGAAACAAGAGAAAAATAACAGTTCTAATTACATGCAGCAGAATAATTAGCAGTAATAAGATTTAAAGATGATAATAGCGTATGTTGAAAAAATATTTTACTAAAAACTATATTTTTTCATTGTTATGGTATAGTATAGTAAAGCCTAACATAAACTTTTCTAAAATTGTTGACTTTATATACATAAATAATTTTTTCCTTTGTGACAAATGTTGTGGCGTGCATGGTGTCATGGCCAGTCAAAAATGTTGTTCATACACTTTTCTCCCCCATAAGAATTTCGAAAAGTTGGCAGGAATGGTAGTGTAATAACAATCAATGGCCAGGGATTAATGTGACATTCTGGAACGATGTATTATTGTGTGCTCCTATATCGTTATTTGTGGATTCAGAAATACTAGCATGGGTGTGGCCTTACCATTATTTGGCAACCTATTTTAATCACGTATATGTACAACCAAAATGGAATAAAATTTTAATTTTCTTCTGGCATGGTATGCTTTATATCTTCAAACTCTTAAAAAATTTGCTTTATGTCTTCAAATATCCTAAGCTATATGGAATACGTACTTTAATCTCTAGTATACTATATAAGATAAAAAATTTACTAATCAATTAAGATAAGATAAGCATTAAGTGCTTGACACTTAATCAATTCAGGGTCTTGCAGTTAACCTTGAATAAGGAATTCTCATGAAAAGTATCTTCTAAAATATCATAGAAACAAAGACAGCTCAACTTAATATTCCATTTCAATTTCAGTTTTTCTTTAATTGACAATTAGAGGTGAAACAATTCACCGCAGTTCACCGAAAACCCCGGTTTTTCCTTGCTGTTCAGTGTTTTCGGTACGATCGGGTCATTACAGTTTCGGTTTGGTTTTTAGTATGACCCCAAAATCCGGTGAGCGCATTTTTAATACAGCAGGTGATGTAGTGACAGCTCAAAGCGCTTGCCTATATAGTGATCAGGTGGATATGTTGATATTAATGAAAAAGAATATCAAAATTGCTGATGATTTGGTACTTTAATCAGAATCTTGAATTGGAATTTAGGCAGTAGGCAGTAGACATTGGTACATAAAATTTTTTATTCAGTTTACTTATCTGACAGGTGGCAGCAGAAATTAGGCTGTGATTATCTAGTGGTTGTAAATGTGTGAAAAACTCATGTTGACTCAATCTTGTTCACTGTTATAATCTGCAGTATGAAGGTTGTGATCACTAATAATATCCATTCCAGAGCAGGCTATTACTGATTGAGCTATAGTGGTTTAATTTTCTAGTCATGATTTATGAATATTAGTTCTTAAATACTCTTAAATACTTAAATATCCTAGTCCCAAATGACATTTTGCAACTGTTGACACTTATTTAAGTGATATTATAAAATGACTATATTAAAAATAAAAACATGTTTGTTACTGCTTAGTATTCAGAGTTGATTGATAATAAAACAAATTCAATTCATCTATTGCTTGCTTTTTTGTATCTAATGATTCAGAAGTAAAATGAAAGTTGAAAAAAATGTACCATTATCTACCATACCTATGTTAGACAATCTCTCAAGGTGTTCACATGTCATAATGACTAAACTGAAAAAACCGAAACCCCAAAACCGAAAACCGAACCGAAAGGATTGTGTAGCGTTGCAGCCCTACTGACAATGTCACCATAGTTGTGCCATTACATTTAAATTTGTTAAAAAATACTTTTAATCTGCTTAATTTTCCTGCTGGTAAGTCTTATTTTGTCACAGAAAAGACTGTAACAACCAAAGTGACTATAAAATTCAGAAAGAGTCCATTTACCAGGACATCATAGTGAAGTAATAGGAGCGAATTGGTGTGGCTTGTCTACAGTGTTTAATATGGTTACTTAGCTGACGGAACATGTTTCTTTGGCTCATTTGGTAGAGCTGGTTGATTATCACGCCAGAGACCCTGGTTCAATTCCTGGTCGGGGCACTCGACAGGAATGTGTATTTCCCATTATTTCACAGAGAAATGTGAAAATGTGAACCACTGCGCTCATAATATACCACAGTCATATTCAATTTCATTTAACCCTATAATTGGAGACTGATTGAGAATTTTAATTTTGGCCGTGCGTAAATACATGCTTTTTGTACACCTATTATCCTAATATGAATCTTCCACGATGAGGTTTCGGTAGAGATGAGTTTTTATTTCATAGTAATATTATTACAAATCAATTCGTCACAATAGGCACGAAAGTTAATTATAAATAATTCAGTGTTCTGGTTGTATTTTGAAACTGGGGCACAGCGTAACCCCAACGATGTTTTCAAACAGGGGAGTCCATGAACAGCCTGTACAAAGCCTGAATTTCACCACTTTCCATCGGTGTTAATTCCGACTATTTTTTGAAACTCGAAGTTTTCCACGAGGACATTACTGGAATTATGAGAAATGCAAGTATGTATTAACGATTTAATCAAGACACGCTAAAAATGCCTTAATTACGGTGTAGATAAGCCGATATAAAGAAATCATTGTTGAAAAGGAGGGGGCGAGATTGTTGTGCAGGCGGCCATTGCGACCCATTCTTCTGCAGCGGATGTAAAGTAAACTTTACAGTTTTGGCTACCTGTTGATCGAAAATACACCGACAATCACATTCTTACCATCTTGATGAAAGGATCGAAAAAATGGTTTCGTTCTACATCATTCCAATAATTTCTTCATTTCACAAGGAAAAACTCTTCTTTCGCGGGGAAAACACAGGAAATTGTGCCGACTTCCGTCTGATAATTTTGACCAATCGGAGTACTTCTGTCAATTGACTTCGGATACTGAGAAGACCGACTGCCGATGATTGTCGGTATTGATGTGAAAAACTGGAAAGTCTATTATACATGGGATCTATTCATATACATGTTAATTTTACATACAACAACATGTCATAAGTGGAGAAGAAGATGAAGGTGTACCGAATGAGCTCAATAATGACTCATATATTTTCTTAAAGTTCGAATTTTCTTTGTGATAACGGATACTGCAGCATCGCATTCATTCACATTTTACATTGATATCAACGTAGATTTCATTGAGCTCGAGATGCTAGCTGATATATTCATGTTGTGATTTGTTTTAATTAATATTTGTAATTGATGATGATCTGAATCTGATGTACGCAGTCCTGATCATCTAAGACTGTTCAGGAGTATTTATCTTGTTGAGAACACAGCATGGGAAACAAGCACTCTTGCAGCTGTATCTACAGCCCAAAGTCAAGAAAACCCGAAGATGTTTACCGTCCTGCAGCATCCGTACGGAGTGAGGAAGTGGGATTTGAACCGAAGAACCAAAGCATTTCCTCGCTTCATTATGTACCTCACATTAGCGATCGAGAGATCCTCCCAGAAGGTTAATATTGGGCCACACCCACTATCTACAGTGTATATTTTTGGTACCGATTATGTTAGGGCAGTTTATTAGACATATACAGTTCAACCACTAGTACTGGCTTCATCTGTCAATAAAATGGTAATGATAGATGAGGGTAACTCCTATAGCTCAACAGTTACTGGGTATGTGGGATGATTCTGCTCGTCCAGTGGTGATGTGTGTTGTCTTCTGATAGGTGGTTATGTTTAGAGCCTATGTCAGTATATTTTCACTAAAATAATGTCAAGAATATCACATTTTATGAGGGTCTTACCAACAGGCAAGTTTAGGTGCATAGATTAGAATGACTGTATTATATATATTCTGCAAACTGTTGATAAAACATTCGAGGAGGACCCAAGGGGTTTCACATTATCTTGTCGAGTTGATATTCTGATCCATTTCTGCTTTGGATTATTTCTACCTTATTTGGTTAAAATAACTGAAATTGGTCTCCTGGAAAAAGCTTATCAATTTTCAACGTGAAAATACATAATGTGACATAATTTCATAAATTAGATACCATGACCTGGCACTACCTTTGGGAACCACAATTTTCTTATACATTATGATTCCTGTGTGGTTGTAATATTTGTTTTAACATTGCTTACTGGAAATTGTTAGGTAATCTTTCAGCAATTTACCAGGTGATGTGAAAATGGATTGGTCATAAAGTTGTGAGACTGTGACCTACTTTTTCGGTTTTTAACTTGCATTATTTCACATTCATATTTAGGTTCCTTTTGGTCTGTTATTTTGCCTATGGTAAATTTTCGCGTATAGTGCGCACTTTTTCAAGCTAAAACTGTCGTGTCAAAAAGAGGGTGCGCATTATATGCAGAAACATGCCATTCTTGGGGTTATCATTCCCGAGTTCTGCGTCCGCCATATTGGATTACCACCCTTCACATAGTTATATGTAAAAGTCATCGGTATTTGATTTTGGGAGTGATCAGAAGAACAAACTGTTTGACCGGTGGTCATCTTGGATTTTGATAATGAAAGTTTGTTATCTGTGTTTCTTGAAGTATAGGATAGATCTTTCTGAACTTTTATTTGTAGGTTTCCATTGGTCTCTAGTTGTACCCGATTGATTTTGGAACTGATCAGAAAAGCAAAATGGCCAACAGGCAGCCATCTTTGGTTTTGACACTGAAAGTCTATTATAGCTTTTTCTTCAGATTAACAAGATTGATCTTTTTCAAATTTCAGTTGTAGATTCCCTTTTGTCCCTCGATATATCAGTTAGATTTTGGGACTGATCAGAAAAACAAGATAGTTGACAGTCTCCCATTTTGGATTTTGACAATGGAAGACTCTTATCACTATTGTCGTAGATGTTTAAGATAGATCTCTCAAATTTTGTACATAGGCGTTCCTTGGTACCTAATTGTGCTAGTATTGATTTGAGTCTCATAGAAAACATCAAAATGGATGTCAGATGACCATCTTTGATTATGACAATGGAAGTTTGTAATCACTTTTTCTTTAGATGCATTGAATGGATCCTTCTGAAATTTCACATGTAGATTCCTCTTGGTCCTTAGTTGTGTCCTTTTTATTTTTGGACTGATTAGAAAAACAAAAAGGACTGACAAGCATCTATTTTGGATTTGACAGTGAAATATTATTATCACTATTTCCCTGAAAAGAATTTGTGAATTTCATATAATGAAGAGAAAAAACAGGAAAGAAGAGAAAAATATAATGTAGGAATGTAATATAAATGATGTCAAATAGTTTTTATATTTATTTTCAGACAACGTTGGTGACCCATCAATCCACCCATTGACAAAACCAATCTTTTCTTCACGGTCACAGAGTGAAATAAACAGAAGTAAGTCTCGCCGCAGGTCCGATGTCAGGAGCAGACATGCTGGTATAAAATGTTTTATTCTAAGCACGAGCACTCCAGGAATGCTCCTCAATAGCATGTGGAAGATGACGGAGAATATCATAACAGTATGCTAGTGTAGAGATTATCAAGTTCTATTTTAATATGAACAAAGAGATTATTATGAGTTCCTGTATAATTTAGTAATGATTAAGAAATCTTTGTTGATAGATATCAGATACATGAACAATTGTCTTACTCAGAACTTAAGCTGTTTTAGCAGTTTGCCAAATTCTAAATTTTTTCGATAAAGCTGTTGATTTTTTGAAATGAAAAATTTCCAGTTGTGATTGATAGAAAATTAACAAAGATTGAGTAATAGATGGAACCTATGACACATAATGTTTTTGTCGTTAAACAACTTATAAAACCTGCCACATGGGTTTTTGCAAGAAAGATATACAAGTGAAATATTATAATTTCTGAGATAATATGCATGATTGAAGTATACAACAAAAAATATACCGGTAATATATTTACATATCCACCTTAATCCTTATAAAGGGAAGTAACTCTGTTATCACATGTAAGCATTTTATTTACACCCTACACTAAAAATGTATAGCATATGGATACACTCAACATACGTATATAGTAACTTTTTATTTTCACCCTGGAATGTTTTTAGTTCACTTAGAAATGACCAAATTTATTGTGTATTTACATTGACAGTACTTAGCTAGTGAATCATTTAATACTGAACCCATGTTTTTTTTCATGTATTTATATATATATTGAGTCTATTAGTTTCTGATTTGGGTTATCTGGTTCTAGAATTGAAGCATGAAGATTGCCAAGTTCTGATCTCATTAATTTACACCATTGGGAAAATAGAGGATTTTAAATGAGTGTCAATTTAAAATTGATTTCACCTAGTTCAATGATTTAATATGTTACACATTTTTCGGTTTCATCGTTTCTATGTCACTTGACACCAGTGTAAAATTCTGTTTATGATTTAACCAGTATTTCTTAAAATAAAGTAAAGCTGTCAAGTTCCATGTGAGACAAACATGTTTTGATGCAGAATTTTTCACTACGGAGACAATCATGTGATGTTGTCAAGATAGGGGTTCTTGATGACATCACAATGGTGTTATTACATATGTGTCTTACGATATTTATGACATGGCCATATGACATCATGACATGGATGAATAAGAGGCAGCCAAACATACATGAGATATGGATATGGTAGAATATATTACAGATATCTAAATACAGTCTTTTAATTCTGCATACATGTATCAAACATTATATGACAAATAGCTACGTCAGTATCACACCCACATGTGTAATTGATTTTTTATCGACTTTTAGAGTGGTAACTTCCCTCCAAATCAAGCTAGGCTTGGTCTATTATCTGTTTACCACCTTGTCTCACTTTTTTCCAACCTTAGTGTATATAGGATTATAGTGCAACTGAAAACATTCGTAGATTCTGTACCATCTTGTACACAATGTATGTCAGTGCTAGAACACCCCACACTGGTCATTTGTCTTGATGAAGATGACCGTGTAGTCATTGAAACGTCACGCTCAAACCTTCTACTGGTTGTGTTATAAGAACTTGTACTCAATTGGTATTACCAACCTGAAGAAAATGTTCCAAAATATCCAGACTAGGCTTTTTTGAAGATAACTATCCCTTCCCAACAACTGGGTTATTTCCCCCTATTTTTCTTACCTTTTCCACCAGCTGTTGATGGCAACTATAAACAATTTACACATTTGGGGCCTATGGATTCTTTGTTAATGGGATCAGTCAACAGTGGGAGAAGTGGATCATAAGTTGGTAAAACTTACAGACCAATCCCTTTCACATGTTATTTTGTCTATAAAATATGTTTAAACTAACAAAAAAAAATCAGTGTGAGCTAGTCAGGAGTTAACAATTTACTATGATGCCCCAAGGAAATATTCCTGCATATGAAGCAACTACGTAAGGAAAAATAGTAGTTGTAAAAGTCGTAACTTTTCATATTTTTCCAGCCCATTAACAAGAATATAAGAAAAGTGTAGTTGTTGTTATGTTAATTAGTCACAAGAATATTTAAACAAACAACAGTTTCATTTCTTGTTCCATTAAGCATTCTAGTACATGTATGTAATTCCCTGTACTTTGTAATGCCTACATTTACCAGAACACTCTTTTGAAGAAAAAGAAATTGCTTGTAACAAAGAAAAAATGAAATACTGTTTAAGTCACAGACAGCAAGACTGCTGTGGTCCAACTTCAGAGAGACAACAGAAATATCAAAAGAATTCTCAAGGGAGAAAATTTTGCTTAAATTATTTTACTACCTGATACACGGGTGAAAATAAGTTCTGTGATATTTTGGGAGTCTTTTAAAAATCTATCTATAAAATCTGCTTTTGTATGGAGTTCTTGTATAGTTGCTGAATTGTTTCCTATCCCCAAAGATAAGGGAAGTCGTTTGTAAAGGAGACATATAGTCCCTTAAGTTTATCAGTTTATGCAAGGCTTGCTGGTAAATCCCAATTATGCTTGGTCACTTTGAAATAAATTATTTTATTTGCTAAGTAGAATACATTATTTCCAGAAACTTTATCTTATTTAATTTCATTCACCAAGTGGAATTTTATTCACTAAATCCGCCATTTTCTTGTGAGGAAAAAAAAAGGTCAGTTTTACATATGACTGATAATGGTTTTGTTCAAAGTCTATTTATTATGTTGTCAAATAGTTTCTGTTCAATTTCAATCCTTATACTTGTTAGGGTATTTAAAACGAGTAACTTGGTGTTCCTTATTAAGCCAAGAACATCAATATTTTTATATATGTACACAAAGCTGGAATCAAGATGGCTGATTTCAGCATCATTTCTCTCTAATTTATTTAAATGAAGTACTGTTTACAATAATGATCATTTTGTAGCACGTTATTTAGTAACTTAGGAAGATATTGTAACCCTCATACTTCACTGATCAGAGGTATAAAAATATACAGGTGAAGTTTATTAGAGTAATCAAAAATGTAATTATACTACAGGGAAGTTGCTGTTGAAGATGTTCATGTACACTTGTTTGATGTATGCTTTAAATTCTGCAAACCAAGTTATACCTTGTAGGGGTTTTGACAGATTCTGTATTCTTAATTACAGATAACAAAAACCGGAGGAGGAGTCAGTATGACAACAGGATCTTACAACTTCAGGTAAACATTGATCAATTTTTCAAATATAAGTAACTGCTGGACTGGTGAACAGGTAATTCCTACAGTTTAAGTACCTGTCAAGCGTTTAAGAGTCCTTTTGTTAAATTTCTCTTCTGTTGAATTTTTTATGAAACTAAAGATCTTTCCACAAAGGTTTGAAAAGAGTCAAAGGTATGTAGGATTGAGTACCTCGTTGAAGGATGTAGGCTGTGTTTAGCAGAACTGCACTGATTGGTGATTGTTATTTCTTCAAATACAATGTATCCAATGGAAGATGAAAAACAATTAAAAATGATACTCAGTTATTTCATATACCTTACTAATCTTTTTGTTTTGAAACTGCATACATAACCCTTGAAAAAATGCTAGCAGCAATATAATGCTCATCTTGGGGTGTATGTAACCCTGGTAAAATACAAGTCACAATATACTGCAAGGCTAGAGATTGCCCCGTGAGCTTGATCGGTTGAGCGTAAGACAAGTAAACCAAAAGTCCCAGGTCTAGAGATTGACCTTTGAACTTGATCCAGAGGTATTGGACTTGTTTATTTTCACTGTTATATGCATTTTGTTAACAACACTAGAATTGAATATTGACTAGTTGCGTTTGTTACATTAGGAATGCTATTTTTAGTATATACTGATTTTATTGCAGGCACCCCCACAGACGACATTGAAAAAGTACAGCTCATGTTCAACAATATTCATTGATGATTCGACTGTGAGCCAGCCAAATCTAAAGAATACAATCAAAGCTGTAGCTTATGCTATCTACTTTCATATCAAAAACAGGGAAAGTAATCGTACCATTGAGATCTTTGATGAGAAACTACATCCTTTGTCAGTAAGTCAGAATATATATAAACATATATGTATAATTTTGTCAAATGTAAGATTTGTTAAAATCCAGCATAGAAAAATTCAGTGCAACACCTAGTGGTATACAGAATCCTCTTAATACTAGAAAATATCTTAAGACAGAAAAATGAAATAGGAAAGAAGAGGAGCAACTTGTAAAAAGTAAAAGATTTATATTTGAAATTTTTATTAGGGAAAAAGTAAACAAATTGATAGCTTAATTCTGAAAAATAAGTAAATAGAGAATTGATCAGTGACAAAAAACATGTAAGGGGTTTGTTGATTTTTTAGCGACGTCCCTGTTGTGACTGTAGTTGATGAGTTAACATCTCGAAGTCATATTGTCCTGGTGTGTAACATAATCACATTGGGCGTAGTCACGCTCCTTTATGGTTGTGGTGCACCCTGTTATAATTAGATTGTAGACTACACCTGTCATTGACTTGTTCTGTATTCTCTGTCATGTCTCTAGTCTGTCGGAAGTTTGTAATGAACTTTTGTATCCTTACTATCTGCAATCACTTTCCCAACCTGAAGGTTTCTTATCAGAAGATAACATAACCCCTTAATCCTGAAAGTAAAGATAAGGTGTTGACTCTACCCTCCGACACATTTTTTCTCTTTAAAGGGAACCATCAATGTTTTGAATGGCAATGGGAGTATTTCTCTTGTGAAAAACAAATTTCTAAATGATAAAATCTCAAAATTTACATCATTAGGGCACTGCAAGAAAATAGTTAATCCATTTGATAATGTGAGGATTCAGTTACATGATCAGAATTGTTACGTATCAAGATCCCTCTATCTTGTGGTAAAGTGAAGTGGGCCAAATCTGTAATTAAATGTTTTCTTACAGATACCTGTACTTCATCACGCTGCAGATAATTTAGGATTTTGATTGATCAAGATAGAAAATATTTATGTTGAAGATGATCTTAGCATCTGTTTCAGTAATGTTAAAACCTACTTGACTATGTTACATTTCTTCTGAGAACAGTTTCATCACGCCTTGGAAATGAAGTTGATATTTTGATAACTGTGTTTCAGCGGGAAGTTGTTCCAGAAGATTACGATTCTAGAGACCCGGAGCACAAATCTATCTACAGATTTGTAAGAAACCTGTTCAGTGCAGCACAGTTGACCGCTGAATGTGCAATAGTTACCTTGGTTAGTTAACTTTGACTTCTACAAATTTAAACTTACTGTTTCATTTACTCACCGTAGTTTTATTAACCGTTTTTGAACAACCAGGTATGTAGAAATGGCTAAATATCTGTCTGGGAAAGATACAAATATTCTTATACAGTCTCCTCACCCACCATGTATACATGATAAGGTTGTTGTGGTCGTCAGTCAAGCTCAAAAGGTCAACATTGACCAGTTTTGAAATAGAAGCTTAAGCATGTGTACAAGATTTTTCATGCACGCATCAACAGACTTCGTTAAAAATGAAAAGATCAGGGAGTTGGGGTCTATGAGAGTCCTACTTCTTCATTTGTTATCAAGTCAAATATTCTCGATAGTTACTGAATGACTTGTTATACATTGACATATTTCTAGGTTTACTTGGAACGTCTTCTCCACTACGCTGAAATTGGTATCATGCCAGCAAATTGGAAAAGGATTGTGTTGGGAGCAATCTTGCTGTCTTCCAAAGTGTGGGATGATCAGGCAGTATGGAATGTCGACTACTGTCAAATCCTCAAGGACATTGCTGTGGAGGATGTGTAAGTTCACCTATTGTGTTGTACAATTTATCTGGAACAGTGGAACTCACTTATTATAACATTTGGCTTATTATAATCCTCACTTAGATCAACTACTACTAATTGGCATGTGTCTGTAATCGGGGTCCATCACCTCCAACACAAACACTGGTTAAAGCTGTCATTCATTTACTTACATGCAGACAAAGCCTATCTACTGTAAACATTGTAGCTGTCGGCTTGAACTGACCGCCATCTTGTTTACAGATTATCAAGTAATAAAGGAGTCAGAAATTGAAATGAAAAATCCAGATTTCACCATGAGTAATTATTGTTAAAAGAAAATGTTAGGTCACCTGAGACAAATTCTTCTCAAAAACCCCAGAATCTATTTCATTGAAATTTTGCCGAAAAAAATTGTGAATTTCATGGTCCCAGGGTCTTGTATTCTACCCTGGGGAGGGGGTGAAATTTACAATTGTTTTGATTGGAAAATTGCGTTTTTTAGCATAACATTGTTAGATTTCCGTTGGAAATAATTTATCATAGATTATTATAGGATGACAGTTTTGATGGTATGCATATACATATTAACACTGACTCAGACCCCAAAGGGCTTATAACATATCATTTAAGTCTTACTGTCATCAGTGTCACAATTTCTTTTTCCTGACACTTGGAAGCTACTTATCCTTTAACTTTTAATTTCCATATTGCTTTCTTCAGGTAGCTGTCCTATTAAATATGTTAATATAAATTGATACCTCACATACAGCAACAGATTTTACTCTGAAACGGACAGCAGTAGAATAGAGATGATTGAAAGTTAGGAACTGTTACAGAATGAAATAAGTATTTACCACAGGGGAGGAGGTATATTTAACACAGGGGAGGAGGTATATTTAACACAGGGGAGGAGGTATATTTACCATGGGGGAGGAGGTATATTTACCACGGGGGAGGAGGTATATTTAACACAGGGGAGGAGGTATATTTACCATGGGGGAGGAGGTATATTTACCACGGGGGAGGAGGTATATTTACCACGGGGGAGGAGGTATATCTACCACGGGGGAGGAGGTATATCTACCACGGGGGAGGAGGTATATTTACCACAGGGAAGGAGGTGTATTTACCACAGGGGAGGAGATATATTTACCACAGGGGAGGAGGAGGTATATTTACCACAGGGGAGGAGGTATATTTACCACAGGGGAGGAGGTATATTCACCACATGGGAGGAGGTATATTTACCACGGGAAAGGAGGTATATTTACCACATGGGAGGAGATATATTTACCATGGGGGAGGAGGTATATTTAACACAGGGGAGGAGTTATATTTACCATGGGGGAGGAGGTATATTTAACACAGGGGAGGAGGTATATTTAACACAGGGGAGGAGGTATATTTACCACAGGGAAGGAGGTATATTTACCACAGGGAAGGAGGTGTATTTACCATGGGGGAGGAGGCAGGGGAGGAGATATATTTACCACAGTGGAGGAGGTATATTTACCACAGGGGAGGAAGTATATTTACCACAGGGGAGGAGGTATATCTACCACAGGGGAGGAGGTATATCTACCACGGGGGAGGAGATATATTTACCACAGGGGAGGAGGTATATTTACCACAGGGAAGGAGGTATATTTACCACAGGGGAGGAGGTATATTTACCACAGGGAAGGAGGTATATTTACCACAGGGAAGGAGGTATATTTACCACAGGGAAGGAGGTATATTTACCACATGGGAGGAGGTATATTTACCACGGGGGAGGAGGCAGGGGAGGAGATATATTTACCACGGGGAGGAGGTATATCTACACATGGGAGGAGGTATATTTACCACAGGGGAGGAGGTATATTTACCGTAAATATTCGCGTATAGTGCACACTTTTTTAAGCTGAAACTGTCGTGTCCAAAAGGGGGTGCGCACTATACGCAGGTACATGCCATTCCTGGGGTTATCATTCCTGAGTTCTGCATCCGCCATATTGGATTACCTCCCTTCACATAGTTATATGTAAAAGTCGTCGGTCTTATATGATAGTTTGGAGATAAAAACAACAATAAAATAAAATAAATTTCGAATGTTTTAATCATCTGCCATTCACGCTAGCATTACGGTGAATCTAATGTTTTTTCGTTTCCCGTCGGACAGCCCATCCCACCGATGCCCAAAGTTGGTGACCCCATGACCTCTCTTAATCTGCATGGCCCGCATGCGCAGATCAGTTGTACTGGCAGCGATGCCGGGATATCGGCGATCGCATACAAAGTTGAACAGCTCTCTCTCCATCTCTGAGTGTTTCGCTGTCACACCTATGTCAGCCCTTCTGGTCAGTGGTTGGGACTTTAGACGGTCTTTTCTTTCTTCCATGCCTTGATATTTCACTCTGGAATGTCGAAATGGCGACCGGCGGCACGAAACTCCAGTCTCTCGGCGTAGTCAAATGGCGTTCGTTGTTTCCCCATGTCGAAGTCGGTGTAAACAATCTATCATTAAATGCCTTCGGATACCACGGTGGGTACAGATACCATGAAAGATCATGCCTATACTGAACAAACCACCTGCTTTTATGGGGACAAGGTAGGATTGAAAATGTTCAGACAGTTAAAACAACATCGTTTTCTGACCAATATTACGCGTTCAGCCCAAGCCGGGTGTCATCAGTCTCCTCGTACTCAACGTGTTAACTGTCATTAACTGTTAATTATACAATCAACCAAGCCTTTCATGCTTGTTAGGTCACCTGGGTAAATTTGTTTACTTAAGGTAATTACATGTGTTAGGGTCACGCTCATTGTGGTTTCCTAATTATCAATGGATCAGACCACATCAAATGTTTTGTTGCAGTGACCAGTCAATTAATTTTTCTGTAGATTTTTTTTTAAAATCTGATCTCCAAAAAGTACCTGCGCACTATACGCGAATACTTACGGTACCACGGGGGAGGAGGTATATTTATCACATGGGAGGAGGTATATTTACCACGGGGGAGGAGGTTTACTTTCAGATCTACAGTGATTTCCTGGATATTACTCACACTGGGGTAGAACCAGCACGATGTAAAATTTTTTTTTTCTAATATATTGTGAAAGTAATTTCAGATAGCCTGCACCAGCAATTTTTCCACTGTTTATACATCATTAGTGTATTCGTATATGATGATACCCAGCGAGTACATTTACATGAACCAACCAAACCTTACATTGTTGATCTAAATTTCTATAGTTATAAGCATGTTAGGAATGCTCTGTTGAATAAGATGTAGAATATTAGTGAATAAAAACGTATTACAAGTGCATGACACAAAATGTACTCCCAGCAAATCCAATTTGAATCAATTAAGTTTACTACAGACTAGATTTCCGTATTTTGATTTTAACTTCCATCTGGCTTTTTATATTAACTAGGAAGCAAATAACATATAACCCACAGTTTTTTTTTTATACAATTTGGTTAAAAAAACTCACAGATAGTGCACTCCAGCAGATAGCCCTCAAAAGACATCTCCAAATGTAAAAACTTGTGTGGCAGGAAATCACACTATACGTTGCTTTTCTGAAATTTTAAGCTGAAATTAGCTGACCAAATGATAAGGTATACAATTTCAATATCCTGATTGAAAGGTTAAGGGTCAGATGTGTTTTCTGGTGGGTCCTCGCTTTTCTTCCACATTAGGATCACCATGGCACTTCATATCTAAAATTTCATTTTTAAGAGTTTTTCAAAAAGACATTAATCTCTGACTCACCTTATGACAGTCATTTATTCATGCAGAAAAGTTTTGAGACGACCCTTTATTTTTTTGAAGGTTGGTCTCCAGTTCAGAGTCGGAGACAATTTAAGAAGTGTCACGTAGCCCACCTAGACTCTTGAGATAGACACACTTTGTTTGCCTCTACGCTTGCTGCGGGATAGATTAGTTTTAATTTTGAGTTTTATTTAAGAAATAGATAATTTATTTATCATGAAGCTACTTTGAACAGCCAGGTCTTGATGAATTGTCTTTAGATTTATGTCTTGTTTGAAGAATTATCTCTAAGTTTGACTTGCTACAGGAATGAGCTGGAGCGACAGTTTCTGGAACTGCTACAGTTTAACATCAATGTACCTTCCAGTGTATATGCCAAATATTACTTTGATTTGAGAGCACTGGCTGATGCTAATGAGCTGAGTTTCCCACTGGAGCCCCTCAGCAAAGAGAGAGCTGAGAAACTTGAGGTTTGTAGTACATGATTTTCGGAGAATTTACCACAAAGGATTTAAGATATTTTGAAGAGTTCCATAAAGACGGGGTTTAACAATGACTATAGAAAAGTGTAGCTAATTTATGTAAATTATGATATAATGACAGTCATAAAACTTCATTCATCAACATTTCTCGAAAGGCAACATTGCTTTTTTTCTTTCTTTTCTTGGTCATCTTCAAATCTGGAAATCCCTGGAATCTTGCATTAATTTTAAAATGTTAACCAGAAATTGAACAAAACTAGGAGGTATTGTTTGGGTGAAGAAGATTCAGAATGATATGATGGGGAATATCATCTATATGTGTTAATTGTTTATTTTCAGGCTATGTCCAATGATGGAACAATATCCAAGCTTTGGCAGAAGCCTACGTTAATACGGTCCAACAGCCTGGATGGCATGACAACGAATCCCAGACTTAGTGTTGCCATCTTGTCATGACAGCTGCAGCGTGAACGTCATTTTACAAGTGATAATGACTGGGTCAGGGTCACTGGATAAGGATGCTGTGCATTCGGACCTCAAATTTCATGATAAGTTTTTTGTCTGCACTCCGTTTATATCTTAACTATTCAACACAAAATTGTTTTGTTGAATATTCAAGTTTTGTAAAACATACCTCACCTTTAGTTCCTAATTAGATATCCCACGATTAGAAAATGTATTGGAAATCATCATGTTGATGACTTGATTTTTATGAATTTTTTTTAGATTTGATTAAGTTTTTTCTTGAGTTTTAAAACACTAGGAAACAATATTGTAATAATGCTTTTTGATTGAATACTTGTGAGGGATCTGAAGAATGACTTCATACAATATTGAACCAGTTTGCTCTTAAATTTATAGCAGAATTTGACCTTTTGATATATCATGCATTTTAAAGTTATCCATAATATGTAAATAATTTGATTTTTTTTTATAAATCAATTGAATTGATTATTTAAATTGAAAATAAATCCTCTACAGACAGTAAATATATACACGTTTGGTGTCACATGTGCATTAATTGATATCTAAGGTCAAAGGTGAACCAAAACTGAACCCCAGTAAACTGCATGCTTATCAGTCCATATTAATTACTTAGTTCTATGTTTGTTAAAAGTTTAAGCATAATTGTGAATAAAAAAAAATGGTTGGCTTAGTTTGTAGACATGTACAAGCACTGACTTACTGTTGAAGCTGTCTCGTGTTAATACCATAAGATAATGTATAAAGTCATGTACATTTCATTTTATATGTATGTCATCATGCCTTTTATAAAAGGGCATCATTGTTTGTATATCACTCAGTGTCTGTGTAGATTTGTTTTTATCAAATAAATGTCTTTGCTATATAAACATTTATAAATTATAGAACGTCATAAAATGTACTCATTGATCATCTTGGAGATCAAATTTCATTGCTCATATTCCATAAATTCAGGAATGAGTTTACTTTCATGTTTTACAATTTGATAAACTATAGGTGTTGTTAATAGCACGTTTTTATCAGTTTCTGAACTGTGTTTGTCAGTACACCTTTGACTAACACCTGTCAATAAAGTAGGCCTCAATATTGTTACCTGAGCTTAATTTTACCCTTTTGATATACCTTTCGAAGATTACATCCTGATACATAGAGCTCATGGTCAACTTTAAGCTATTTAGAATTTTGTGAGACAAGGTGTCATACAGTGGTATGAAAAATTTAAGGCAATCTTATTTAAATGAGACTCTTCAGTCTTAGAATTTTAAACTTGTATACGTTGTTTAAATTTTCCCGCAAAAAAAAAATTAATGTCTTTTGAGGCAAGTGGTGATAGAGAAGTACTATTACATGTTTGTATATAATGTTTTTGGATTTGGATGCTAATTAAAGTGGCCATGCTTAAAGTTGGTGGTAGATCATGGAAGATGTAGTTTATAAAAAAAACTTAATTCAGTAACTTGAATTACAGTAAACACTGTAAAAATGTGTTGTTGGGAAGATTAGGAGTTCTAAAGATGGAATGTGACAGTATGAAGGACTTTATGATTTTTTGAGGATTTATTCACCCAGGACTCCGAAGAGAACAATCCCCACCATATTTGTATGTGTAAACCAAATTACGCTCCATGTATACCAAATGTGTTGGACCCAGTAAACTGTTTTGAGTCTTGAGGTACAAATTTAAAACTTGTGATTTACTATTGGGTTGATAGTGTTACATTACATATATTAAAAAAATTGAATGTTGGTGAGAAGGGCCAGTGATCCATGAATTTTTTTGTATTTGATTGAGAAATACATAGAGACTCTTTGGCACAAATCACTTGCCAAATTTTGTGAACATTTTAGAGCATTGTATTTCTACGACATCTACAGTTATACACTGCAGTATTTCATGAGCACTTAAAGTCAGTAATATTTCTGAAGAAGGAAAACTTTCAGGAAACGAAAGATTCTAATTAAAGGAAAATTAATCCTTTATATTCTTTCTTATTTCTAGATAACCCATCATATTCTACTCAATTTCTTTATTGTTTTTGAAATGAAATTCAATTAAGGAGTACCTAGTGATTTATTTCATTTTAAGTTTTATCTCGGGATATTTTTAGTAAAAGCATGAAATGCCCAAAGGATTTTGGACATTTTATGGTAGTGAATAGAACTACATATGTATCATTTATTTAAGATCTACTTATGTTTGATGAGTTGAACAGAGAAGCTTTTTGACTTTTAATATTTGTTAATGCAAGGCAAACTTTCACATTTCTAAAACAAGTACTTAATATTTATTTCAACACAAATTATCTAGATACATAAATATCGTGTTCGTTGTGTTTTTTGTCGCTATATAAGCTTTACTTTCTTGCCATTAAGTTTGTGCTGCCCTTGTTTTCTGTTTATGATATTTTGCCTGTTTTCTGTGTGGAATTTTAATGTCAGAATTGTAAATTGCCAAAAAAAAAAATTTAACATTTGTAAGAAAAAAAAAAACATTGTATAATTTTGATTTTTCAAAATACATATGTACTATGTTTCTTATTTTTCCTTGCTTATTTTCATATATATTTAAATGTTTTATACTTGAAATCAAAAGATAATTGAATTGTGAACAAAACAACCTTTGATGGTGGGAATTTCTTAATAGTTCTCCAACAGTTCTGTCAAGTAGGACTATAAGTTTACTTTCAGTCTTAGTATGACCCTTTGTGCATTAAATACACATAGAGTTATTGCCCTTTGTTTCACTTAATACCTTGGTGTAGAGTTATGGCTCTTTGTATACTAAATTTTTAGTTGGTGTAGTGTTTTGATCCATATTGCACCATTTCTCCCAGTACAAAGCAATGACCCTTTATACACTTGTGTACACTATATACCTTGGTGTAGAGTTATGTCCCTTTGTACCCTGGTATAGAGTAATGACAATTTTTACCACTATATACCTAGGTGTAACATTATAGCCCTTTATACACTATATACCTCGGTATAGAGTTATGTTCCTTTGTATGCTTTGTATCTGGTATAGAGTTTTAGCTCGTTGTGCGCTTTTGAGAACATTTTTAAGGGTGTTTTTTGCGTAGTGTATCATACAAAAAATTTGTATATCAGATTTCAGATTGTTCAGATATTGGAATAACCAGGTCTGATGTTCCACTTAAAACAGCTTGTATAACATGTTACTTCATTTCTTTTTACAATGAGATATTCTGTACTGACAAATGGTCCTATACCTGTCCTTAATTTCTACAGATATATGGTTCTTTATTTTTACCAAGGACCCTCCTGGAGTCGTGAACTGTCATGATTCTTTGCCTTAATCTGAAATTGATTTAAGTCCAAGGAAGAAACAAAAATATGGTTGAATAAGAAATGGCATTATTTTTTCACTATACTGAAAATGCAGATTTTTTTTTCTTCATTTTAAGAAGTGATGTTTGAAGAGTGTGCCATGTGGTTGGTTTTCAAACGAAACTGTGATGTCTTTTATATTACATGTTACCTTCCAGTGATTCTTGGAAAAAGATTTTTTTTTCATTTGTGAATCCTTCACCATATGTCCAACTCCACACCTGTGTTTGACCCATAGCCTAGAGCTACATATACCAGTTATGTTGTGTTATCACAAATACTTCAAAACTAATACTTCTTTAATTCAATCCATAGTTCTATCAGATGTAAGCAACCCTGGATGTTCCTTTTGAAATGAACAGGTAGACTTTGTAGAATTAATATAGTTACAGATCTAGTTTTATCATTTCAGATTGATTTGTTGTTTTCAAAAACAGTTATGGATGGAGTTCAAAAGACATTTCAACATCTCAGCACCCCCGAACATGTAATGGCAAAATTGAAGACAAACGAAATAATTTGATTTGTTTTAGCAGATAAAAATTAATTTGATTGGTTCAAGGATAAAAAACTGACGTGTTTGATTACATAATGCATTATAAAAATACTGTTATTGTAACCTTAGATTCATTAGATGTACCTCAAAGGATCAAACTCGTACACAATTTGTCGACACGGAATCTTCAATTTTGCCTTGAAATGCTTTAGGGATGCAGGGAAAGAAAGCGATTATAACCCCAGGGAGTATAGAGGATGTCATTTTAATTACCATTAATTTACAAGTTTGCCAATATGCTAGCTGTTGGAAAGGGAATATATAGCATTTGTTATAAGACGGTTCATTTGCTTCATTGTTAGAATGAGGTTATAAACTGCTGCTGTGCATGTACAATATAAAACAGCACTACACAATTTTGAAGCTTTCATTGTATAGCCAAATAGTTGTAATAGTTGTGACAGTCCTGTAAATATATGGTAACAATTTGTTGCAATTTTCGTAATAAGTTACAATTTTTTTCAAAGTAAATACTTAGTTACAGTCTGTTTCAAAGTAAATACATAGTTACAGTCTGTTTCAAAGTAAATACATAGTTACAATCTGTTTCAAAGTAAGTAAATAGTTGCAGTCTGTTTCAAGGAAAATACATATGTATTTCAAAGTAAAGTTTCAAAGTAAATACATTACAGCATGTTTCAAAATACATTACAGCCTGTTTGAAAAGTAAATATATAGTTGCAGGTTGTTTCAAATTAAATACAGAAGTTACGGTCTGATTCAAAATGAATAGATGCTGGAAAGGTTGTAAGTTTTGAGGTGTTAAGTTTCCCCCGATTTGGAGGATTAGATAATGTTGCAAATTTAGACACGTTGAAAATGATATTAAACAGAAAAACTTTAGTCTGTCTCATGACTTTTGTTCTAGTTACTTGAAACTTTTTTAATCATAGAAAACAAGGTTTATAGTAGATTAGGCTGATTGAGTGTCATGCCCTCCATCAGTGGAACAGGATGGAGGATTTATTGTGATATAAGTATTTTACACCTTGATATATGATCATGTACATAATGATATATGTTATAAGGTAGACGTGCAACTGGGATATTTTTATATTGTTATATATTA